ATAACTTAAATAAATTATATATGTTGAGTTATAACTATTAATAAAAATGTTTAAATGGAATTTATGATTTTTTTTATTACTAAACTTAATTTGTTTAAGCTATTGGCACTACCGTAGTTTTTAAAAATGTAAAAAAATTTATAATTAAATTATCAATTTTTGAAAAAAAAACTCAAATTTAAGTTAAAGTATTTGTCGATTCAAGTTGGTGAGTAAGCTCAAACTTGCTCAAATACTAGAATTCGTAGGAAAGTTGCTATTTTTTTTTAAAAAAAATTCTATTAGCGTATGTGTGGATATATACTACTAGAGGAATTCTATATTAGGTTGTCAAGGCTTCATGCATAAGCAATGGATCAGAGCTATGCATCAAAGAGGTACGTTTTTTTTAGGTAAAGATCACTAAACTTTCCTTAACCATCAATGGATTTTTAAAGATTCTAAGTAGGCTGAAAGGGAAAATTTTTAATTTTTGCTTCAGCTATGCCCTTTAAAACCCAACACTCACTTGTAGCACATGTGAATTGTTATTTCAAAATGTCTTTATTTGCATCAAAACTGTTAGTTTGTGTCCTTAATTGCACCTAATAAAAATAGTACCTCAATCAAACATTGCACCAAAGTTAGTAACTTATTCACAACTTGTGCCCCAATCATAATGATGTTGCACAAAAATAGATAATTTGGTCATTGAATTTTCCTTACCAAGAACTCTATTGAAAGGAAGGATCTGGAGAAGATGGCTCATTCATCTCCTATTACTGCTTTGTTGAAGATGAAAATGACAAAAGAGAAAAAAAAAAATATCATTGAAGATTATTTCAAATGTAAAGCTTAATACTTATCAGATCACATACATTTAATAAAAAAATAGTAAGCTAAAAAAAACCCTTATATATAAGGAACAACATCTGAAGCCAAGCTAAATTAGCATTGAACTTTGTGATCAAATGATTTGTGCTTCTATCAGCATGGTAGAGAATTTTTCTCACAAGCTCTAGCTCTTTATCTAAAAATGCTTTTTCTGTCATTAAATAAATATATTTATTTTTAATTTATTGTTGATGCAGGATCTTTTGAGCATACTGTCAATACTTTTATCCTTGGCTACATTGGTTTATTCTCAGAATTTTGATGTGACAAAGTATGGAGCAACTGGAGATGGAAAGTCAGATGACTCACAAGTATGGTTATTCTTTTTAGTTGTTACCTCATTCATATTCTCTTTAATTTATTTTTCATAGAAATTGAAAAAGGATTAAGGAAAATAAGGATGTCTTATTATATAAAATGTTAGAAATGATAATGAAAAAATTAAAATATTCTTAATAAATGAGTGCGTTAAAAAGATTTATTAAAAATATTTGAACAATTTTACAGAGATCCTAACATTTAAAACATCAAAGCGCTTTAATTTTTACTTTTCTTAGATGGAAATTAAAGTAATATATTGGCATTTATTTTAAAGGCTTTTATTAAGGCATGGAAAGATGTTTGCGGTTCAACATCAAAAAATCCTACACTCATTATTCCAGAGGGCAAGACGTACTTACTAAATCCTATTAAGTTCGAAGGCCCTTGTAAGTCTGCTGTTGCGGTTCAGGTAAATGATCATCAAAGTCAATTAAACTAACAACTTATATGATCTTAATTACACAGAAACACAATTTTATTCATGTACATTAGTTCATCATAAAGATCTATTACACTAAAGCGATTTCAATTAAAAAAAAAAAAAATGGTGCAGATTGGAGGTAATATCGTTGCACCTAGTAATAGCGAACCAGTTTGGAAGGAAACTGAATCAAAAAGATGGATTGCCTTTTCAAATGTTAAAGGACTAGAAGTAAGTGCAAAGGGCAAACTTGATGCCAGAGGAGCTGATTGGTGGAGGACTTGTCCAGATGTAAGCAAAATTAACAAATTTGATGAATTTGCTTCTCACTTTTAGCTCAATTTTTGGGCCACAATTGTAATTCACATCTCAATTTGTATTTTCAGATGAAAGGCTGCAACAGACCAACTGTAATGAGGACTCCCCTCTTCTTACCCAGTTCTTTTTTTTAGCAAAATATTAATCTTACAATATATTTGAATTGAGAGGAAAATAGAAAAAATGAGGACAGAGGAGAGGGAAAATTTTTTCTCAATTTAGTTTTTTTAATCATCAAATTTTCACAATTTAGTTATTAAAAGAATTGGAGGGGAGAGGAGGAGAAAAATAACCTTTACTTTATTTTTTTTTTAATTTATTTACTTATTCAAATAAGGAGAAAGGTGGAGAGAGAAATAAAAAGATATATAAAAGTACAATTCATGTTCCTTTTTTTTCATTCTCCTCAACTCAAATATATTGTTTTTATAGTATTTACATAATCATATGCATCAAACATTTAATAATTTCATTTAATTCTTGCTTGGTAATGGATAGACCCTAGAATTTGGTGGTTGTTCTTCCTTTCGGGTGCACGGATTAACCTCTGTCAATAGTGGACGAAACCATATCTCTATAAGCGGTTGCAACCAAGGAACCTTAAGCTCCATCACTCTTATTGCCCCAAATGAAAGCCCTAATACTGATGGCTTTGACATTGCCTCATCAGAAAATATTGAAATTCTCGATAGTAACATTGGAACTGGTATGAAATTTGCCTTTTAGTCAATATTCTCTTTCCTAATTAACTGGCTTACCAAAAAAAAAAAAAAAATCTCCTTCCTTACCCTTTTGAATTTATCAAATTGAATATTTTTCACATTATTTGTATGCAGGTGATGATTGTATTGCAATTAACAATTATTCCTCTTATATCAACATCACTGGAGTGGCATGTGGTCCGGGCCATGGCATTAGGTTTGTTATTAATCATCTATCCATTTTTCTACGTTTCACCTCCATAAATAAAATTAATTGCACAGGGCAAATAAATAAATAAATAAATAAAAATATACATATTTATAAGGTTTATACATACAACATTAGATTTTCACTTTTTTAAACCTTTCTAAAGATTTAAACTTAAATCTTTTAACATGAAAATTTGACACTTAAACTATTGATATATATTTTTGAAATGACTATTTTAAGTAGCTAAATATATGTACGCCCCTAGTATTACTTGTAGTATCATTACTTAAATTTCTTACAGTGTTGGGAGTTTAGGAATAAATGGAGAAGAAGCTAAAGTTGAAGAAATACATGTAAAAAACTGTAGTTTCATTGGAACAGATAATGGAGCAAGGATCAAAACATGGCAGGTAACCAATAGAGTCATTTAAATACATATACGCATTTAATTTAGTCTCTTGAACTAATTTCAATTTTCCTTCCATAATTCTTTTGCATGAACTTAATTTATTTTGTAGGGAGGGAAAGGATATGCTAGTAAGATCTCATTTGAGGAAATTGAAGTCACCAATTCTTCCAATCCAATCATTATCGATCAATATTATTGCCCTCATAGTGTTTGCGACAATCAAGTAAAAAAAAATCTACTATTAGCTAAAATTAAAATGGATAATTTATTTAGTTACTATTTTGCAATGGTTAATACTTAACTCTTTTTCTTTTCTTTTCTTTTTTTTTTTGTTTTTTGAAATGTTGAAGACCAGTGCCGTTACGATAAGTGATGTTACATTCAGAGGCATCCGAGGGACTGTCAGAGGAGAAAATGCAATTAACCTACACTGTAGCGAAAAAGCAGCTTGCACCAACATTTTGGTAGAAGACATCAACTTAAATTCTCTTGTTCCAGACAAGAAAGCTTATTCCTCTTGCACCAATGCTTATGGAAGAAGTTCTCGTTCGACTCCACCAATTGAATGTTTGTTAAAACAACAGCTTAAAAGCTTTTTCTTTTGGCATTGGTGAAGATATCATTGTTTTCCACAAGTCTAACAACCATCAAAAAACTTGTATCCATGCAAACTTTAAAATAAAAAGTCATACATAATTAATAAGATGACTTCATATTTTCACAAAGACAGAAATAATATGATCCTGACCTTTGGATTATAGTGGTTCGTCCCAAACCTTTAAGGGCTTGGTTTTGTTGGTTGGGGTTTCAAGTCTCATTGACGCTTTGAAAATTCCATTCCTTTTTCTCCAAAATTGTATATAGTTCAAAAAAAATAAAAAAATGTTAGAGATAATATTTTTCCTTAATTTTTGTATACCACATGCCTTCGATAATCATCCTGTTTTGCAACATGTCTAATTAATTGAAATCCTTTGTTAATAAAACCCCCCAAAAAAAATTATTATCTTGAAGATATCTCAAAAACCACAAGGTCCACCATAACTACTAGCATTATGTGTGAACATGATCTATCTCTATTGTGCCTGAATATTGTCTTTAATCAACAATCCAATGTCTGAATGGAAAAACCAAATCAATCTCCTTTTCCCAGTTAAGGGTGAAATAATCATTGTCAAAACAATCAGAATAATGCAACTCGATTAATTTTTAAATGTGCTATTGTCTGTCCTTACTTATGGATCCTAGCACAGCAAGAAAGCAATAATAATAATTTACCATACCTTAGTGGAAAATGTATTTTGAACCACGACCTTTTATCAATTTTATTTCTATGCTTTAGATATATTCATTTACCAATTTAACAAGGCATTGTCTCTGATTTGACGGTTGAACCAAAAACCTATGGCTAGCCTGTTTTAGCACTGGCTTGTGTTAAATTCCTCCTTCCCTTCTTTTTTCTTTTTTTTTTTTCAATCTGAACACGTTTGCACCAACCCAAGGTTTATTTTTTAGGGTGGGTTTCTGAGAAGCAAAACAAATCAGACTATTTTGCCCAAACTTACCAATAACAAGTAGAGTGGGTTAAAAAATGCCAGTTTTGAAACATACAGTCATTCAGTACCCAGTTTGAATGGCCTAGTGGTTCACCAACTCAAGTCCAAGTGCTTGGGACTCATAGGTTGGGAGTTCAAGTCTTCCCTATGACATTCAATATATTGCCCTTTCCTCGTAAATAAAATTTCTCTAGTCCCAGAAAACAAAAATCATAAAAATCATGGTTGCACCCGCAGCTAAACTTGATTGCATTCAAGTC